TCCCTACGGGGCGGCCGTGCGGTTCTCCTGTGACGAAGGCTTCGTGCTGCACGGCGATGCTGAGAGCCAGTGTCTGGCAGATGGTGCCTGGCACCCTCCCCTGCCCACCTGCCAGCCAGGTGGGTACCAGACCTGAGCCGAGCCTGTGGCCCCTGTCCTGGCGCAGAGGTGTTGGGGTGCAGTGCTGTGTAGCTGTGTCTGTCTGTGGGTTCTGCTCCCTCCTTCCCTCTGTGCTGGTGTTTGCCAGGCGATCGCTGAATTTTTCTCGACAGTCCTGTATAAAGAAGATGTATCTAAGACAGGTCAGGAGACACCATCGTTATTGATTTTCTCTTCCATGCACATTCTTACTGGGAGATGTTGATCTGCAGACTCTTGCATAGGGATCAGCCTGAGCTGAGATACTGTCAGAAAACAGCTAATGGGTACCCCCTCCCATGGGCTGTTCTGACCTTCACCCTCCCATCTTGAAGGGCCTGGGGAAGTAACTTTGCTTTAGCGTCTGGTTTCACAGCTCCCCAGGTTTAAGCTCACCCACACTGGCTCAGTCTTCACCAATTTTCTAGGGGTTTTTTCTGCTGTCTTCTTGCTGAGCTGCCTTCTGCTGTGGGTTTTCCTTTCAGTCCTGTGTCCACAACCACAAGTAGCCAACGGAAGGCTGAAAGGCACTTTGGATGGTAAAACATGGTACCAAACAAATGCAACGGTTACTTTTGAATGCCTTCATGGATACCACTTTCCAGATGATGGAAACACATCCTCAGAAGACTCTTGGACAGCCATGTGCTTGCCTGATGGCACCTGGACACCATTGCCCAAGTGTGTAAGTACCATAGTGTGGCTGAGCTCCTGGGTGAACGCTGCCTGATTGAAATATGAATATATTATAGATATGAAAAATAACTGCTTGGACTTCTTAAAGCTTTTGCTTTATGGTACTAACGGGGGATGCAGACTGCACTGGGGCAGTGCAGGGCAAATGGGGCAGATGTCCAGGCTCAGAGCTGAGGAGCAGGTCTCTCCATCTCCTGCAGTTCAATCATACAGGCTTTTTGCCAGGATTTGTTTCCTTTGGTTTTCTTTTTAACAGAAGGAAGAAGGCGATGCTGATGTATGCGAGGAGGTTCATTACGTTAAAGCGGTCTTTGAATGCGGTGTGCCGATAGCAGAGGTGAAAACTCTGCTGGAAATACAAAAACTGTTCCTGGAGATTAAAAAACTAAAGGTGGAACTAGAAAACTTGAACGAGTGAGTTCTGGGATATGCTGTAACACTCACCTTTCCTTTGGTGAACACGCAGTTGTAGTATCTATAAGAAGGCTCTCGATGACTTTATGGTTCAAGCTTGTATGCACACAGCCAGAGAAATAATAACTAATGTGTGGGAGAGGGGCTTTGTCCCGTTAGATGCCAGAGGATGGAGGGATTTTTGCTCTTTTCCTTACATCTGACAAGCTTGCTTCGCTATTTAACACGTGTTATTTCACCTTTTCTTTTAGGAAGCATAGTAAGAAATTAAATGGAGCTTCTTTAAGTCACTGAATAAAGTGTACTAAGCTGAGAGAAGGGGGACTGAAGTCCACAGAAATGAACTTCTAGCTGAGATGAGTGTCTGGTGGTTCTCTCTGAAGGTGCATATGCTGTAATCTTCCAGTCAGTGGTTTGCACACATGCTGCACCCTCTGCCCATACCCACCTCAGCCTGTCATAGCATGAGTGTGCTTCATCTAGCTAGAAATATTAGTGAAGTGAGTATTTAACAACGTGATTTCCTGGTGATCTGGCTCATGATTTCTAATCATCGAGTTAAGGGCAGTTACATACAGAAGTGCAGTGTAAAGGCTTCTATTTGCTTTTCCCTGAATTAAAACAGGCAACAGGTTTCTGGCCCAGCACTGTACTCAACAGATATCTGTGGTGGTGTCATCATCCATGTCCCTATTTCCGACAAGCAAATGCTAAGAATAGATGTTGTAAGCTGAAGTGTAGAGAATCAGATAGCAAAGACTGTTCTTATCACTCAATAAATGATGATCAGTTTATGTCGCCCTGTGATGCAGCAATTCCTCCCTCCCTGCAGAGTGACAATAAAGGTGCAGGTGTAACCACGGGTGTTTTGTCATCTGTCACACTGGCTGTAAATCTGGCAGATTTCCAGTATGGTCCAAGGGTTGTTCTGATTGAGAGCTGAGCCCTGGCAGCCAGTCAGTCTCTGGGGCATGCAGAGGGCCTCAGTGGGCACGGCATGGCACATCCCACCATGCAGCCCAGCAGCTGCTGCCCAGGTTCAGTGGGAGAAGGAGAAGCACTCATCTCCTGCACAAGCGATTTGCAGTGATATATCATTGCCAGATGCATCTTTTATCAGCTTTTAGAGTTGCTTTAAATGTCACTAGAGCCTGAAGCACAACACCCAGGGGAAGAGCTGGTGTCTCCCATCCTTACACAGAACGATGCTTTGATAATACATCCTGTGCTTCACCACATCCCGGGGAGGGGATCAGCAATGAGAGGCACCCTCAGACCCACTCTGGTTCTCCCTGTGCCACGAGGAGATCAGAGCTTACACCTTCCTGGTGTGACACCTCACTCACCTGGGACTGCAAACAGAAAGTGTCTTATCTCCCTGTGCAGGGCTGGAAACGCAGGAGCGTGAACAAGAACCGGGTGTTACGTCCTGTGTGTATCTAAGAGTGTTTGAGTAGCGTCGACTGATGTCAGACGGGATGTTTCAGAGTGTTAGTCAGTATGCAGATGGATGTATTTGCTCACACCCGTTCCTAATTACAAATGAGTTAGGCAACCAAGAAAAAAATAACAAACAGAAAGGAAAATGCTTTGGTTTTGGGGTTTGTTTTGTTTCACTAACTCTGCTTATGGAAGATCTGTGTTGTGTTACCTGCCAGCAAATAACTAAGTAGGTATTTTCCTACCCTGAATACAGCTTGGGGCTGGGTGGGGATATTTCTGCTCTGGTAGCATTTGGTTTTGGCAAAACTGGGCTAGTCAGAGCTCAGTGCTGGTCTTGGGTCAAATAAAAGGGTTGAGTTATTCCTGGTGAGGCAGGAGGACCAGGAGGCTTTACCCAAGCCTCTGGGTGACAGTTGTCCCCCACCCTTGGCTGCTCTCCATGTCACTGCTGGAGCATTTAGCTCCGTGGGTGTTCTGGAAAGGTTTCTTCTGCTCTAGAGGCTTGGCTGGGTCTGCGGCACTGCATCTCCTCCCAGCTTCAGAAACAGCCCCTTGGAGCCAACGGTGCTCAACAGAGGAGCACAGAAGTTTCTGCAATGAAGGCTGGAGGACCAGGACAGGAGAAGCATCCAGGCACCCTGAGCTGCAGGGCACTCACTGGAGCATGGGGCTCTGGCCATGCCATGCTGCTCCTGGCCTTGCTGGGGCTCCTAGCCATGCCTGTGGTTCATGGTGAGTACTAGGGCATGGGATGCATGGGGAGGACCAGTGAGACCTGCCTGGATCCCACCTTGCTGCCTGGGAGCTGGGGTGGGTGATGCCACCACCCCCAAGCCTGGGGACCCAGTGCTTGATGCTCTTGCAGATGCAGCCCTGCCCAGAGGGGAAGCTGGGACCAGCCCAGCTGCCTTCTTGGGATGCTCGCTGGGACTGGGGGGTCCTGGACCCCATGAGGTCCTCACCCAAGGAGGTCTTCTTCTGCTGCAGGTGACTGTGGGCCCCCACCTCGCATGACCTATTCCAGACCATCCAGTGATGAGCACACCAGCAGCTTCCCCATTGGATCCAGGGTGACGTACACGTGCATCGAAGGTGCCATCAAAATCCCCTGGAGGTCGGACACGACGAAGTGCCTGCCCGGCGCGCGCTGGTCAAAACTGCCCGAGCCCTGTGGCCGTAAATACCTCCTTTCTCTGAAACATGCTCCCTGCCCCGTCTCTGGCTCAGCTTAAAGCTTCTGTCCCTTAGGGCAGCTGCTCTGCCATGGCACCCCATCCTGGCAGGCTCAGACCTGCTCCCCTTGGCTGCTGCTTCTCGCAGGTGCTGGTCCAAGGGCTGGAGCACCTCTCCTATAAGGACAGGCTGAGAGAGTTGGGGCTGTTCAGCCTGGAGAAGAGAAGGCTCTGGGGAGATTTTATAGTGGCCTCCCAGTACCTGAAGGGGCTACAAGAAAGCCGGGGAGGGACTTTTTACAAGGGTAGGGAGTGATAGAACAAGGGGTGATGGGTTTAAACTGGAAGAGAGGAGGTTTAGATTAGATATTAGTAAGAAATTCTTTGCTCTGAGGGTGATGAGACAGTGTCCCAGGTTGGCCAGAGAAGCTGTGGTTGCTCCTCCCTGGAAGTGTTTGTGGCCAGGTTGGCTGAGGCTTTGAGCAACCTGGTCTAGTGGAAGGTGTCCCTGCTGATGGCAGGGGGGTTGGAACTGGATGAACTTTGAGATCCCTTCCAACCCAAACCAGTCTGGGATTCTGTGATTCTATGAAAACAGATGTAACCTTTGATGAATATGAGGAGCTTCCAAAAGCACCAAGTGAGAGCGTTTCTGTGATGTTGAGGTTTATTTTGCATCCCTCCTGGCAGTGGCTTTTTCAGATTCGCTTTTCTTGACTGCCAGGGAGCTGCGGTGCCCCGACGAGGTTGCGGTTTGCTGCCCTGTCCAAGGCGGATGAGATGATTAATTTCTTTCCTGTTGGGAGCAACGTGAGCTACATCTGCCGCCCTGGCTATGAGAACATCTCAGATAGTTCTCCCACCAGCACTTGCCTTGAAAACCTGGAGTGGTCGGAAGCTGCTGAGCTGTGCAGAAGTGAGTATCTTCTCTGCCAAAAAGCGGCTGTGGAGGTGGCTGCAGGTCAGGTAGCTGCTCCCAACCCATGTGCTGAAATCCAACTGGGTCGTTATCATCCCAACAGCTACATGCCTAATACAAAATTAGGTGGATATTCTTTGATATGACTGTTTAGGACTGGACAGCAGGAGTATCAGTAGTGGGTTGGTTTGTTTTCTGCTGGCACGAACAGCTCTGTTTAGATTTTCTTGTTAGTAAATATGTTCACATCTGGACACGGCACGTGCACGGGACAAAGGCCAATTTGCAATTCTAGTGTTGAACTTCAAAATGAAGACAAAGTGTATTTCTTGGTGAAATCCATCTAATATTAAGACTGATGATGTGGCAGCAATATATTTTTCACAGTCGAGTAATTTAAAGCCAAACTATTGAGATAGAAACATCTCTGCTATATTCTCCTGAGAGATGCTGCCCATGTGAGCACAGAGCCCTGACGGGGATCCACACCTTCACCTACAGCTGATTCTGGTTCCTACCTGCTCAGCTGTGACATGTGTGAAGTAAAATGCTTTGGTACTTTGGGTATCATCCTCTAAGTCTGTCCCTTATTTGAGCTTTTTCATTTCTCCATCGCTGGTCTCGTTCCCTGGCAGGGAGATCCTGCGGCGAGCCGGGAGCGGTGCCCGGGGGCAGGACGGTTGTTCTCACAGACCTGCTGTTCGGTGCCAGAGTGACCGTGTTCTGCGAGGAGGGGTGAGTCGTGGGGTGATGCCCTGAGCTCCAGGACACCCGTGCTGATGCTGGGATACAAACTCTGATCTGGTGCAATAAATCCATGGACAGGGGCTGTGCTGCTGTTTCCCGAGACGTTGCTCTGAGCGCAGAGCATGGGGCTGCTTTTCCCACTTAAATGACCAGCTTTGGGCTGGGAAGGAATAAGACCCAGCTGAGGTCTGAATTTATGGCTGTATCTTCCTTCCAGTGTCAGCCAGAGGAAATTTAACTGCCCCAGGATATTATCCCAACAAAGATGGCTTTACCTTTAATTTATAACTCTATAGACTTCAAAACAAGTTAGTTGAAACATTTCAGCTTAACCTATCTGAGATATACTGAATAAGAAGGGGTGAGGTTTGAAATTTTAAACTTCAAAGATGTTCA